TTTCTCCATTATCCCGTGTCCCCCCCCCCCCCCCGGCTCTCATTTCCAGCTCTCTTCCCGGCTCTCATTTCCAGCTCTCTTAACTCTTAGTTTGTCTCGCTTTTCCATAACATGAATGGCATAAAGGCAGATATTTTCAAAATCAAAGCGAACAAAACAGAAATCAAATCAGCAAACAAGTACAAAAATGCGACAACTTTTACAGCCATTCGATATATATATATATATATATATAAATTATAGCTTTACCTCGGGAATTTGTTGATTTTTTATATATTTTTGGTGCTGTCGAATCGAAACCTGCGTTTCTTTTACAAGGGTTTCTTTCTGGTAATAAACCTTGAAACGACGATAGGGTTTCCGTTTTTGTTCTTTTTTGTTTCTTATCTCTCAGTTTGAGTACTATTTTTCATTAGCACAATTGGGCTTGGTGTCTCAGAATCGGAGTAGGCCATTGTACTGGTCTGGGCTTCTCCTTATCTTTCATTTTCTGAGCTTTGAATTTTACTTTTTGGGCCACTTGATGAGCCTACGGAGTTTTAAAATGGGTTGTGCTCTAAATTAATTATAAAGAAAACACAAAAAAGAGTGAGTTATTCACTATGTCCAAGTGCACTGTTTACTTTTGAATTTATTATTCAAGCTTTTTTTATTTTATTTTAGTTCTCTTTGTTAGTAATTACATATTTTTTGGGTCAAATATAAAAATAATTTGATCAGATTTGTTAACTAATAACAAAATTAAAAAATTGTGCCAAAATAAAAAAGTATCATAAATAGATAATTATTTTAAAGTTCTTATCAAAAGTCCACTTTAATCCTTAAAATTTTGCATATATACTTATCCGATGCTGCAATATTTATACAATTTAATTTTGGTATAAAATTTTATTTATTTATTTATTTAGTTTCTAATTTGAAAGAGAAAAAAGAGATCATTAAATTCTATCAATATAGAAAAAAAATCATTGTTTGCACTAATTTTAACCATGAAAATAATAATTTTGGTATTAATGGATTATTTTTAACTGGAGAGTTTATCCTAAGTTTCTTTTTTCTTTGAATTTTTTTTTATAGTGGATATATACTCAAAAATAATTTTGGCCTAGGGTTAGTTGTGGGTTTTCAGATCAAATTTTGGGTTGTTTTAGATTATGAATATGTTTTATAAAATGTCTAGCTTGTTAAAAATAGTTTTTTTTCTATTTGAAACATCACAATTTAATTTTCTAAAGACTGCCATTAAAATCTAGGCAAGATAGACAATGCATCTCCTGCTCCTTTTTTTAACGATTAAGGGTTGGTTACTCCATACAAAGTTTTTTAAAAGAAATATAAGGTATAGAATTGTGGGTTGTTCAATGCCCTTGTGCTCGAGCTTTTTGTTATGGCCCATGCGTTTTGGGTAATCCAGGTCCGAGCACTTGAACATTGTTCTTTCTTTTTTTTTTCTCTTCTAAATTTTACCTATTAGTTTATCACAATTGATTTTTATTGATTTTATTTTTTTATTTTTTTATTTAATATTTTATTATTATTAACTGGGCAATATAAATTATTTTGGTTTGGTAATTTTTTTTTATTGCTCTATTATTTTTTTAGTTTTTAATTTTATAGGTATTTATATTAGATAAAAAAATATTTAACTCAGTTGAGTACATAATCTTGATCACGAGTTTGATTAGATAATTTTGATTGCTTATTAATTGAGCTTTATAATTTTATTTTGGTTACATGAATATTTTTTATGTAATTAATTAAATGTATATGTGAATATTTTAATTTATAATTGAAATTTTTCTATGTTAAAAAGCATAGAAATTACTATCTTATTGAAAGCAAAAAATATATTTGACCTGTGGTTAAAAAGCTAATTAAGTATAATATAAAAGGAGTAGGTTTTTATGTATTGTAGACCATGAAATTTTTTTATTTTTCAATTTGATTCTTAAATTTTTGTTTTTGGCAATACAGTCTTAAAATAGGGATCAATTAATTTTGATTTCTTATAAAAAGATGAGACTGAAAGAAAAAAAATCAAAATAAAAAAGACATCAAATATAGGTGGCGTGCCACAAATTTTTTTAAAAAATACATTTTATTCCTCCAACTTAAAAAATAATGCAAATTATATAATTTTAGTATCTTAATATTTTTTTAAATTTAATTTTGGTTCAAAAATCTATCTTTATTATTTTTTATCCCTGGTTGAGAGAAATAGAAAGAAAGAGAGAGAGAGAGAGAGAAATGTTATTAACATCAATTTAAGCGGTCGAAGTAGATAATATTTATAATAAATAATTTTATTTGATAATGGTAGGTCATATTTTTTTTTTATCTTGAAAGTTCGTTCAAAAACATATCTAAGCTCAGGTTAATTTTTGATTTCAGGTTGATTTTGGTTTTCAGGATGATTTTTTGATTTTTTGAAACAATGGATAAATTTATTACAGTTTCTAATTTTGATAAAAAAAATTAGTTGAAAATGAGTTTTTGGATAGAAAAACTAAAGTCATAATTTTTTGGCCACTGTGATTACTAAAATCTGGAAAGTCAAATAACATATTACAGTTTCTAATTTTGATAAAAAAAATTAGTTGAAAATGAGTTTTTAGATAGAAAAACTAAAGTCGTGATTTTTTGGCCACTGTGATGACCAAAATCTGGAAAATCAAATAACGTGTCATTTGATTTTTTTTAAAAAAAAATATGAGGCAAACTCATACTCCCTAGTTACAGCGAAAAAAAATAGTGACCTAGCTTCGCTCATCTGCCAAGGCAGACCTGTGTGTGGTGCCTAGTAAAATAGACTAGGCGGGCTGACGTGGCTTGTCAAACATAACAATATATGCTTTTGCTTTATTTTTTAACTATTTTTTTATTTTTTTAATTAATGATTTTTTATGATTTTCTCTAATTTTTTTAATTTATATTTATATTAGTACTCGTTCTCTCTTTTATTTTATTTAAAGAGCCTATTTTAAGTAATGATTTTTTTTATGGTTATGCATTTAAATATAAAAAGTTTTTCTAATTCATCTATAATTTTTTTTTTTATCTTTTTCATTGATGAACTTTATATTTTAAAATAAAAAAATATTTTTAGATGATATTTTTAATATGTGTAGCCTTGTATATTGTTTTTCCTCCATTTTATTCTATTCAATAAATTTAATTTGTGTTTCTATTTTTATTATCATATGCTTGAAAAAAAAATTTATTAAACAAATTTAGCTAAGATAACAGGGTAAATTTCAAAATTAAATATTTTAATTTACGTCTGTTTTTTAATTTTTTAAATTTAATTTTTAAGTATTATTAATGATTTTTTATTTATTTTTTAGTATAAATGATACTCAATGTATTTAATGACATGTATTAATCAAAAGATTTATTTAAATTTAATTTTTTTTTGTAAAAAATAAAAATATATAATCATGACAGAGCGGAAGTTTCTTAACCAATAAAAAGCTAATAAATGTTGATGGCATCTATGTATATTTTATTTATTAATAAATTAATTACAAGCAGTACATATCAATTTTTACTGTGTTTTTGTTTTCATTTTTTTTTTCACTGCATAGTGATTTTTTACACTCCAGCACTGCAAGCAAGTCAAAACCAGTAGGGCGACAATCATCCTGACGTGCTTTTATTTAATTTTTTAAATAACTTAAAAAAACAATACATTATATGTTTGATCTCCTTATTTGCTTGAATGCAATAGCTTCAACGGTTAAAAAAAAATCAACACTGATATAATTCATTCTTATAATTTTATTTAATAGCTTGAATAATTGAATTGAACTATTTCGTTAACATAATATATAAATTTTAATATCTAAACAGTTGTTATTTTATTTTTATTACGGGTACTTATACAAGTTCTAAACTAAAAATAACTTTCATGAGTAATATAAAATCGTTATTGAACTGAGATACGCTATAATAATTAACAACTTCTTTGTTTCAATGACCAAAATCTTCACCATTCTCCAACTATCAGCAGTTGCTGTGGTATGAACATCTCCTAAAGTTGCAGTACACTTTGCTTAAAATACATGGTATGCCACAGGTTTACTTGAAGCCTACAAATGGGGTGCTCGAGAACACCCTTGCAGATCCGACGCAAAAAAGAATTTGCTGCTCGAAATGTAATCCTGAGGGCAGTCTCAAGGTCATTTTCTGTCATCATAGCAACTACAATAACAGCAATGCCTCCATTTTTTGGAGATGCCAATTCATTGATTGGAGCTTTTGGTTTCATCCCTCTCGACTTTATCTTGCCTGTAGTGTTCTTCAAGCCATCGAAGAGGAGCATTATTTTCTGGTTAAATGTTACTATTGCAATGGTCTTCTCAGCAATAGGGAGTATAGCAGCAGTCAGACAAATAGTTCTTGATGCCAAAACATATAGGTTATTCGCTAATGTTTGACTAGATTAAATGGCATGTTGGCTAATTGGCTCACAGTATCAGTAGCCAAATGTATACCCGTGTTTTACTCTTCTTTAGTGATTGAATATATAGAGTGCTCAATTCCTAAAAGCATCAGAAACAAGACAGCAAGAGAAGTTTCTGTCTTAAGCTGATATAAAAAGGTACAGGATTTTGACGACTTTAAGCTAACGGAATAAAGGAAGAAATATGAAACCAACACCGCGTTTTAATGTTATTTATGAAGAAATGCTGTCACGGATACAAATCTAGAGATTTTCATAACCGGGGGACACCAACAGTATTTGCTTTTGGGACCGCAGGACATTTTGACCACTACTGTTTTGGGAATCAGTATTTGCTTGTTGGTTTGAAATGACTGTGTTACCTGCTTCTTCATTTCCTGGTTCTGAAAGTGCAGATGTTGGTGTAGTGCAATTATCTTCCCCATCTGTGGTTCCAGCGATTTTTATAGGAACCCTTACTGCATCAGAATTGGCAGGCAGACTGGGAGCAGCAGGAGGGTCAGCAGATTGCCTCCTTTTAATCCCCTTGCCGATATTCTGCTTGAAACTGGCAATAACAAGCTGGTAAATCAAAACAAACCTAGCGTGAGATTTGCAAACAAGCTGGTAGGTCAGTTTAACTGAAAAGAAAATTCATAAATTTTTGAACTCTGTATTCTGTACACGACATACTGTTGACAGGAGACACAGCCATCTAGAGAACGCTTTCTTAGAAAAATGAGTAAGCAGAACATACTTGGATTGGGCCAGCTGCTATTAAAGAGCCTGCAACACCACCACCAAAAACTCTCCCATCAGGTTTAGCCAGTGAAACACTTAGCATGCCATTTTTGCGATTTGAACCTCCTGTTTCGCCGAAAGTGAATGATCCAGATAAAGATAGAATTTCAAAGCGGCCCTAGATCAAATGGAAAATTAACCAGAAGCTACATCAGAAAAAGGAAAAGAAACAAGATAAAAGAGTTTCGTTTTTTTCAGGTACGATCATATCATACATCATATCTCAAAATTCCACCACAAGGACCAGGCTGACGCATAATAACACTTGAGACAACACCGGTAGCAGAAAGAATGCAGACTGCTCGAGCACCCTTTTGAGATAATTCTATTATCTTACTAACAATATCCTGCAGGTCATAAAACAGAATTAGAACATCTTGACACAGGACAAGCAATGGGAAGCACTACAAAAATACAAATATGCAAAAAGAACAATTAAGAAACCTTAATTAATTCTCACATATTTTACAGTACCTCTCCAGTATACACAGGCACTACATGAGGGGTGAAGCTCCCCCCTGCTGTTTCTACTGCAAAACCACCTTTACAGAGAGAATTTCAACAAAAGTCAAAGGAGGGATGGAAAATAAAATGTAATACACAATATATCACACATTTTGATTTGAGTCAGACTATATATGTATCCCTTTTAAAAAAACATTAAAAGAAGAAGAAGAAGAAGAAGATAGTTTTAAGCTTCCTCTTTCAACAGGAAATTAAACATGAATTTTTTTCATGTGTATTCAATTTCAAAATAATAATTTTCTTCGAAATTGGAAATGGAATCATGTTTTTGTTCATCCAACCAAATATTAATTGTTTAATCCACTTAACACCAAATCAAAATTTCCATTACAATTCTACCATGCATTGATACTAAACATCAATCAAGATTTACTAGAAAGAAACGAAACAAATACTAATAAAGATTCAGAAATTTTGCATATAATAAATAGGAAAAAAATTTCAAACAATTAATCCAACCAAAAAGGAAAGGAAGGAAGCAAGCAACATAACGTTAACTACTGCTTATAAAAGCCTTAGCAGATTTTGAGCACTCACCAAGGGAAGCCAAGAGTTGCAGTTTACCAGAACCACGGGGCCTCCCTCTACCCCGCTTATCGTAACTCGAGAGAGAAGAAGAGAGGCCCTGTGGCGGAGGCGGTGATGATACTAGGTTTGCATCCACATCATACTTCCTAGGCCTTCCTCTCTTTCTTTTCACGGTGTTTTCAACAACACCTTCCGAGCCTGACCCTCCGGAGCCGCCCACTACACCACCACCAGGGTTGTTTGGCTCTAGGGTAGGATCACTACCACCTGTTGCCCCCTGGCTCCCTGGCGGGGCATGATCCTTGGTTGTAACTATAAGAGTCTGATCAGAAACAATGATGTTCTTCTCTTCCATGTAATCCATAGCAACTGAAAAGGAACAAACTATACTAAACTAACGTGAGGAGAAAAAAGAAAACATATATATATATTCTTTTTCTGGTCAAGAAATTAGGAGATTATGGAAGCAAAATGGTTTTGAAGGTGTGGAAAAGGCGCCATGAAAGAAACCTATATATTGGAGAAATTTCTTGCTTGTGAGCCTAGTGGGATTGCTATGCAATAATATAGGGTAGAAAAAAGAGAAGGGCCTTTTCTTCCTTTTTCTTTGGAGAGAGAGAGAGAGAATTAATTCCTTAAAATATTTATTTTCTATAAGAAAAGGGCAAATATTGCAGTTACAATATTAATTACTGGTTTTTAACATTTAAAGGGGGAAGGGAATCTGCCTTAATTAATAATATAAAAAAGAAATATCTTTGATTTATTTAGTAATAAAATAATCATTTTGCTTAAAACTAAAACTGATTTTTTTATTATGTTCAAGAGATTTTATTTCCAAATATAGCTGGAAAATCCGAAATATTTATAACGCTGTTATTTATTTTTTGAAATTTGATTTTTTGAATTTCAAACAAATTGTTTTATTGGATCAAAACTCTTTATAATGCACCATATTAGACAATAAATACAATAAATTTGATGTTTTCAACTAGTGAATTAGATATACATGAAGAAGTTAGGGCAAATACATGAGATGAGTTTGGTGGAGACATTTGCATGATTGTTTCTGTTAAATTTGCAATTATTTTATTTGTTTTGCAGTTTTAGTTATTTTTTTAGAGGAAAACAATTAAGGATCCTTTCTAGATATTGTTTGGCACATCACCGTTTCGTTAAATTTTAATTTTTTTACTATAAATTAATTTTTTATATATTTTTAGACTGTTTCGGTGTGATAATATCAAAATTAAATTTTTTAAAAAATAAAAAAATATATATTATTTTAATATATTTTAAAATAAAAAACAATTAAAAAATTAACTTTAATTAACTTACCATGAAAGAGCATAAATTAAAGTAATGAAAACAGCATTCCATTATCAGTGTATCCAATAAATTTTTTTAATGAAATAAATTTAAATCTTAACTCATCAAATTTATTTGTTTATTACTATGTAATTGAGGGAGGGTTATCTTGTTCTAGAAAATATTTTTCATTCTTTTCGATTTGTTTGATTTCATATATATATAAAAAAACTATTTGAAAGTAGCTCTTTGGTGTTTGATATGAATATAAAAGAAGGGTTAAAAGAGAAATGGCAAGTAGAGTTCATGGTTCATTGACAAAAATAGTTTAATAAAGTATTTTAATTGGAAGTTTTTTTCCATTATTTTAAACTTTTTTTCCCCTTTTTCTAAATAAATCAAATATGGAAAATGAGGGAAATATTTTAAGTGCGGTAAACGTAACCTTTCCTTTTCTTTTTTCATATCAGAAGCTCTTTCTTTGAAAACACATTCTCTGAAAATACTAAAAAAAAAAATTTTAACACATTCTCTGAAAATACTAAAAAAAAAATAAAAAAAAAATAGACGTATCCTATGAATAATCCATGCACAGGTAGGCAACTAAACAGCAAAGAAGACATCAACAACATCAATAATGAATCAACACAACACATTTTTGGTATCTAATAATTCGACCCTTCATGCATGCAAAAGTGGAGCAGTAAAATCTCTGCACCAACAATAAATGCTCACAGGATATGCCAGATTCAATATTAACAGGAGGCTCAGATGCTTTCTCTCCATCGGAAACAGCATTCATCAACACAACAACTGAAACCAGTCTTACATTAGGGGTTGCAGGGAGCACTCTACAAAGGTTATTGAATTGAACTGCCATGAAAGAGAATACCCGGTAGAGCTGCAGTCTGATCAATAGAGTTTCATCATGAACACCAGCAATTTAATTAAGTTCAAGCCGATGGAGAAAACACAAAGGGATCGGATTTAAGATAATTAGCCTACCATTACTTCCAGGACCTAGCTAACTCAAATGGTTTAATTGGCCGGCCATTTCTATTAACTATAAAACAACATGAAATAAGCTCAAACAAAATCATGTTTCCCCTACCTGTATCGATCAATGGATTTGTTCTGCATGCTCTGTCTCAGTAATTTCTATCCTATTATTTTGGTAACCATAGGGGACAGTGCAAACAAAGAAAAAAACCAAACACAGACATCTGCTTCAGAAAGAAAGCTGTGATTTGGGGTTTTCATTCCACTTCATCATCCAAGTGTCCAAACAGCTGTCTCCAGTGCACTGATGCTTCTTCTGGTGTCCGCAGCTTCCAAAGGTGGGGCTTGGCTTTTTCACGAGCCTCTAGAATTTCCTGCATTTCAAAGTCCACTCTGGCAGGTTACTTTCAGGGGCAGAGTGAAAATAAACTAATCAGACTGGTTGGAAGAAAAAGAGTGATCTGTGCACATAGTGGTTCCATGAATGACACCTGTGAATCAAAACTATGTTGCGAACTCATGAACTTTATTTCATCAATCACTGGTTAAGAGACTAACATGGTTGCATTGAGTCACTTAAACCTTCAGAAGATTTAAAATGCAAAGCTTATCCAAATTCCAAAAACACCATCTAGCAAGAGACTCAAACAGGAGTTTGAAAACCTAAAACGTCTCCATTGAAATTCTTTCTCCCACTCTATGTACAGTTACAATATCTAAGCTCTGTGCACTAAATATGCAAACATAAGATCCATTGAAGCTCACTCTCCCTCGCTGCACAGGTGTAGCTATCAGAAGCTCTTTGTATCCAATATGCAAATGCAAGCTCTAATAAAGTTCTGTCCCTCTCTGTACAGTCACAGCATCTATTCTAAGTGCTACATACCATAATAACTAACAAACACTTCAGAACCATTTATTTTGTGATAACCAATGCCAGCTCTGAACCATTATTTTCAACCCCTAATCCTGGAACTACAAAAAAGGTGTTTTACGCTAAAGAATGTTGAACAAATTCAGACACTACAAGCTTGAAACTTTCAAACTAAGACCTCAAGCACCATAGAATGTTTTATGCTAAAGAATGTTGAACAAATTCAGACACTACAAGCTTGAAACTTTCAAACTAAGACCTAAAGCACCATAGAAGGTAGTTGTGCTCTGCACATTGCAAGCTACTTTATCTAAATTCCACAGAAACAAAACCCCCTATTCACATCCTAGAGAGAGAGAGCAATGGCAACAATAATCAGACAAAGGGGCTAAGTGAATAAACTAAAGTCAGAACTCAAGTAGCACAGCAAAGATGTCTGCAAACAAAAAAATACTGGGCAAACATAATACAAATTTAAAAAAAAAGCTATTTGACCCAATCCTCATCAGTTGACACTTGACAGCACATGAGATGCAGACCCATTCACATCAAGATCACACAGCAAATGCACAAAATTACAGTCAAGACAGAAAACATAGACAAGGGAATGATCCAGAAAGATGACTATGGCTTCCAATACGAAAACAAAGTGATGAAGATTGACGCCTTCATGCACAGGTAATCATAATCAAACATTGGAATTTGGCGGTTGGAACCCATTTTTTGCAGTAGAAGGATCAAGAATGCACAAAGGATATTTCCTCATAATTATAGTAAGAACTTTGTTATGACTTCTACCATAGAGTTTTGATCCTTACAGTCAAATTTCTAAGCTTTTATGAGTAATAAAAGAAGAAATACATAAAAAAAAAAGAACCCAATAATTATACTACCAGGACAAGAAATCATTAACAGAGAGTGATAAGAATAAATGCTAAAGAACCCTTAATTTTATGCATATAAATATGCTTTAAAAGGCAATAAAACAAAGATTTGCAGTAATTGAGAGAGAGAGAGAGAGACCTGGACTTGAGAAGATCTTTTAGTCTTGAGAGTCAAACAGTCGACCAAATCACTCCATTTCTGAGAACAGTTATCAAAAAGTCCAAGCCTGTAATATTGCTGCATTTGATGCACTGGAGCTGCCTCAAAATTATTAATTAATGATGAATAATTCCCATGATTTTCGTTATTTAATCAAATATTTATTCAACAAATAACTATACTGTGATTTTGCAGCAAGTACTTACAGTAGCAGAACCAGAGAGCGTCGAAGCAGGTAGTGCAAGATAAGCGCCGTTTGGCTGCTGAAGACAATGAAGAGGCTGCTTCCCGCTCTGGATCCGTTGCCATCTCTAAAAATATGGATCCGCCACCCAAAGTCCAAAGCTTCCTTCCTGTATTTTGAGGGGAGAGAGTGATTCTGAATTTCTGATAATTTTTCTGGTCGGGTTCGGGTTGAGAAGCTCGTTAACAAGAACCCGCGCCGTTAATAATCCTGGTCGGGTTTTATTTTATTGTTGGAACGAAAAGCCCATTTAAAAAAAAAATTGTTACAAAAGGCCACTAATGAGCATGCCTCCTCTATCATGCCCAATTTCCTTTCTTATAGTGCCTAGGGAGATCCAAATGTCAGAACCTTCCTCGTGATTCCTTTGCCCAAAGAACGGGAGGAATCAATCTTCTTTTATGATCTTAAAGTCTTTATCATAATTTTTAAATTTAAATGGGCAGAGTATAGCTTTGGGATTTTCAAACTCACGAACACCTTCAAATCTAACGAGAGATGGCATGAAAAACAAACTTGCTTACCACCCAAACCAAATTGCCAAAGGTTTTACCATAACTCTAGCATTAGAATCAAATTTTTGCATTTTCTAGGAGGCATGATAATGCAGTCGCTGATGCAGCATATTGCAGAGTTAAACCTATCAACTTACAAGAAGTTACATTTGGGGGGTGATCTTTTCCCTCTACATCCCATCTGTCCAAAATCGTCTTCCTATATACAATGGGCTGTGTTTGAGAATCTGCCCTTGAATGTAAATGGATTCCAAATCCACAAGTTCAGTTTTGGACTTTGATAAATAATTTTAAAAAAAATGATCAGAAATATTGGTCTGTCTCCCTTCCATTTCCAGCAGCTCTATTTCATTTCAGCCTCGAAAGGACCACCTTTTTACTAGATGAGCAAGCTTCAAGTAAGACAAGGTTGCAACCCATATGGAATTTTGCCTCAGAGATCAAATCTTGTTGCCTTGAGCAAAGGTATACCCGACCTCCTTCAAAGTCCTGGTTGCTATATAAAAGGCATATAACTTTGTTGGGCTCTAATCATCTTGGTATTGGAAGCTCATGATCACCTGAGAGTAATGGTGCCAAGATATGCGCAAAAATATGCGCAAAAGAGCTCCATATACATCACTAATCTATGTAAACAGCATCTTCAGCTCTTCAATACGAGCACTTCGAACTTCTTGATCAGTCAAGGCACCTGAAATCATTAGCTGCTTGCGCGCTTGCACTGCTTCCATTCTTTCCTCAACTGTTCCCTGCCATCCAGATATATTCAAAAGAGTGCAAACAGTCATGTTAGTGAAAGGTCAGAAACAGATCAGTGCCCCTGGGTGACTCAAATAGTAGAAAACAATGACGCTGATCAAGTGACCTTCAAGCTCAAAATTCCCAGAACAGGTACAAAACAAGCTACTAGTGTATGTCTTTATTTTCTATCATGGAAAAAAAAGTTAAAAGTGGTTGAGACATTCAGGTACTTGAAAAGGCTTTACTGCCAGTCAATAACATAGCAGACAAAAAAATTGATAAGCTCCAATTGCATGGGCTACAAAACAAAGAAAAAATGTACCTTCACAATGAACCGCCTGATCATCACTCTTTTAGTTTGTCCAATGCGATGAATACGCATGACAGCTTGCTCCTCTACAGCTGGATTCCACCATGGATCCTATGAAAAAACTTGAACATTAATGTTTCTCGCATAACATCCCAGTTACAGAACCAAAAGCATAGTGAAGATGGAAGAGGAACAACCGGAGGGAAGTTCTTGTGGTGTAGGTTGAAACAAATCAACAAACAGCCAAGATAAAAAAGGTAGTCCGAACCTAAACAAAGAATTTTGGTGTGGAAAATAAAGAAATTTACCTAACAGAATACACCTTGTAAATGCAGCTATCCACTGCTACTAGTTAGCATAGTTAATAAAGTCACTTCTCCTAACGCATAGACGAGTGCTAATCCCCAGGAATCAAGGGAGAAGAGGGTTGACCCATTGTGTAAAGCATTGGAACGAAAAAATACAGGTGGTTATATAAAACGTTCAGGTAAATATTCAGCAAAAGATCACTCAGCGAAACAATAAAAACATTGATGTAACAATATGCTGTTTCTTTCAACTCTAATCCAAGACATAATGGTAAGGTTTTCAGTTCCAAGTAAGGTTGTACATGGGCATATGAAAATGCAAAAATTTAAGGAAAAATCTTGCCACAATTTAGATAACAGGAAGTTCAACATTGTGCATACCATAACAAAGGCATTGGACGCTGCTGTTAAATTTATCCCTACCCCTCCAGCCTTCAGTGACATCAGCAATACCTAATTGTACAAATGCACAAAATAATCAAGTCCAAGCTGTCTACAAAACTACCAAATTCAATACCCAGCTTCCATCACAAAAGGGAAAAGGAAAGAGCAGAAACAAAAGAAAGCTTCACAAACCAGGATGCTGTCATCTTCTGAAAACTGTTTTATAACTCTTTCACGCTGCTGCTGGTTTAGAGTCCCGTCAAGACGAACAAATGAAATGTTACTCCTGGAAATAATTAAAATGATAACTCCATTGTTACAGAATGCATGAAATACAGTGACTCAAGGCACCATTTCATAAAGAGCAATACACACAGGACAGGACAAAATTATTGAAATTTTCATGAGCATAATAAAATAGATGTGCACTATAAGGTCCCTCTAAAACAGTGAAGCCAGTCCCAGCAGGATCCCATGTACACGATGTTAGTCTCTTTCCCCAGTGCAAACACCAACTGACAAACACACAGTGAACATGTCCATCACTGAAATGCTCACAACTAAAAACATCCTATGAGTTCTTCAAGCAGCTCAGAATTGGTACCTGGAAAGAGGGATTTGTAAAAGATCCAGAAATGCAGTCCACTGACTGAAGAGAATGCTTTTAGATCCTGACATACGAAGAATTTCAAGTTCTCGCAAGAGAGCCACAATTTTGGAAGATTCAACCCAATTTTTCTCAATATCTATCTGGAATCTACTGTCAGTCGGAGCTGTAATAAGCTCTTGCCTTGTGATGGCTTTCCTGTAAAAGGACAAATGAACAACTCTTAAATTCTAGGACCGGCAACTATAGGACTTCAACACCAGCAAATTTAAAACTTAAAAAACAACTGTGGTTGCAAAACAAAAATTGAAAAATACCTACAAACAGGACATAAACCGGAACTAGCATTTCGCCAACTTGCCAGGAGACACTCTCGACACAATCGATGAGCACAAGGAGTCAATACTGCATCTTCACATGCCTCGAGACAGATTGGACACTCTCCCTGCTCTCCCTTACTTAGCTCTTCCACAACTTCTTTAATGTATGCCCTTGAAGGCACATTTATTGCTTCTCCTTCAAGGACACCCTGGTCACCTTTAAGGAAACGTTTAGCTAGCTTGTTCAGATCAGAATATTCTTGCGTATCACCTCGACTGAACACACAAAGCCATCCATTACAAAGAATTTAGGAAATTCTCTCCCATTAAAAAAAGAGCAATATCAAAACTCATGTACAGAATATTCAGCATAAGAAAAAACTCTGCACCAGTTGGTTTCCAACTATTCTGTGGCAAGTCTATAAACAAGCACAATACTTAATCTACAAGCGGCCAATCTCCTCCGCAGAGAGTTTTTTCCACAATGTAATGATAACAAGTGATCACAAAAGGAAAAGAAATCAAATTGATAATGGAAAACATTTAAAAAAAAAACCATCAAGAGAAATGAGATAGGATTATTGAAGAAAATTATCAAGTTTCACTGATTACTAATTCATTTATGTGAAAACAATAAAATATTCATTCAGAGATAGCAGTACAACTGTGATCCTTTCTCTTCATACAGATAAAAAAATTATGGAAAAGTTTCTTTTCCTGTATCAGATATGTTCAATGAATATTGATTGAAGCATATGCCAATATATACACCAGAACCCTTGAATTCTGTTGAACCACCATTCTATCGTTCAAAATGAATTCACTAGTATGCAGGGAAGATAACATAAGCTAAGGACAGGAAAGTCCACACCTCATCACAAGAAACGGATGATCACAGCATTGACGAAGACGTAAAAGTAATTCCAAAATAGAAGCATAATTATGAAGAACCCGCCCTTGCTCAACAAATTGATCAAACTTAACCTGGAAAGATGCCCAACAGTATGTTATATAAAAGACATGAAAGAAAAGCTATAATCAAATAATCACATGAAACAAAATAATGGAAATTCAGTAAAATATGTATACCTTGGATTTTTTAAACAAAGCCTCATAGAAATCCTTTTCAGCTTCTGTTAGTTGGCAGTAAATCACCTGAACATCAGCTGGGGGGAGAGCTAGAATTGGCCTGTGACAGTCAAAAAGTTTAAGAGAAGAACTTTAGAAGGCAGAGAAAGGACAAAGTAATATGCCATTAGCTGCACCTGCCCTCTCGATCTCGGCTGGTCTTTGTTCTCCTTAACATTATAGGTTTTAAGATGGACTTGACCAACTTTAGCCCTCTCTCATCACCCTCCTCAAATGGTTTTTGGACAAGTTTATTCCACCTACATTACACATAGGAACAATTTAATGAACATAATTGTCATGCCACAAAACTCTAAAAGATAATAACAGTAAGAATGCTACGTCCCCAGAACTTTAACAAATGATTAACCTACCAAGAGAAGTGCGTGTATAATCCATGCACATGTTTAACAATGATGAGATTAAACACATGCATGCATATGATCGAAGTGACTTTTTCTAGAAATTAGATGCATAGACATCAAGTTCATAAGACACGATTTTCCTATCTTCTTTATGCAAGAATGCTTCAAGCAACCAAAAAAAAATATTCTTTCATATGCCTCAGCAGTTGTCCACATGAATATTATAAAATTGTAAAAATGATGTTCCTAAATGAAAGAAGCAAGTATTTCTGGAGAAGAAATTAGAATTTAAACCTCAACCAGAGATCTGGTTGAGGTTCTCCTTAAGTTTTACGCCATAGCAGTACATGTCCATGGGACTATTTGGATAAAAAGTCACCTTTGAATTCAAAACTATTATCCAATTAACTGTAACCAATTCTATAGTTTTTGCAACCAAAAACAGATAAATGACCTACCATGCCCAATTTTCCCAAGGTTCCACCTTCAAAAACCGAAGAAGGCTGTAAATGTCCTCC